GGGAATTCCTCAAAGGGATTGTGTCGCGTTGCACCGCGCATCAATTAGCGAACGGTGGCGGAGGGAACCCGCGCGGCAGAGGGGGAAGCGCTCTTCCTCGACGGTCAAAACGACGTAACAACGAGTCGCTAATTGCTAAAAGCGACGCCGCGCTACGTTCCCGAATACGGGTAGTCGAAATATATTCTCCAAAAAAAAAAAAAAAACGGCAACTCAACGTCCGCTCGATCGATTTGCGAAGCAGTTCGCGCGCTGAAATATTTAGGTGATTTAATTTTATTTCGTCGAACTTAATTGTGCAGGCGCGGATTTTTGATCTTCGATGTCGAGGGAACGGTTGCAAGTACGCGAGCCGCTAATAAGTTCGCGAATAAACGGAGCGATGTTTTCGCGCTCTGAACTTTCGTAATTAATCGAGCGCGGCAAAAGAACGGGGGGGGGGGGGATTGGGAAGTAGGTGGCTAAAAGCGGTCACGACCGTTTCGTTTTCCCTCCTCCTCCCTTCGTTCGTCCACCATTTCTCACTCCGCGCCGACCTTTTTCTCCACCCTACCCTCTTCTCTCTTTCCCTCCCGCCGCCCGATCTCTCGTAGTATATTTCATCTCACTTTCTCATTACTTCCGCTTATCCGCCACGCGCGTTCTCTCGCACATTAAATTACTCTCGCATGTTACAGCGAAGTTTAACAAGACGTGAAAACTGGCCGAACGAAGAAAAAGTAAAATGCGAGCAGCGACTAGTTTTTCGAAATACTCGCACGCACCGTTAACTCGTCCGCGATAACCTTTTTTTCTCTCTCTCTCTCTCGCAAAACGAATTTCCCGAGATGACTCGTCGGGAATAAATGCGCATTTTCCGCAAACTATCCGCGCGCGCGGCGAGATCCATGCCGGCTGGTACCGAGAACGTTTTAAATTGATTTGGGGAAATAACTTGGCGCGCGGCGCGCGGAAAATATCGAGGGAAAACGAAGAAGAGTGTGTGTGCGCATTCGCAATTTCTTCGCGCTGCTGATCGCGCGCCGAGAGTCCCGTTCGTATTTTTGCGCTCGCGTAAATATCTCTATATCTAATTTAATTGAATCGCCCAACGTGATCTAATTTCCCGGCACGACAATCTGAGTCACGATCGCGCGGATTTCGCGCGTACGTCGTTGCTTCCCGTATAATTACGAGATAGAGAGAGAGAGAGAGAGAGAGAGAGAGAGAGAACTTGCCAGTAACGCGCGCACAGAATTAGAAGCAAAGTCAGTGTGTCAGAACGTTTGACTCAACTTTGCATTCGCAGACGTATAAGACGATTAAATAGTTGATGCAACGAGATGCACGACTCTATCAATTTATAAACTAAATCAAAGAAATTGTTTTGCACTAGTTTCGTCAATTATAACAAAGAACAATATTACAAATTTTACTGATGATTTAATTTTAAGACGTGAATTTCACTTTGAAATAAAATTTACAAAGCTGAAAATTTCAACTAAATCGCGAAATAAGAAGAGACGTATCTGTTACATAGATTTATAGTTTTAGTAGAGAGCCATTCTCGCTGGATGTACGCGCGAGAATATATTTTTAACGTGTAAATTAATATATGTACGTAGTGAAAATTTAGATTGAATATTATTTAATAATAATTCTGAAATTCACAAGATGTTACTTTGCATCACTTAACGTAATATACGAATTGATATCTGAAGACGGTGTTGAGGGTTTCAACCGCGTTAGTGTCATTTTTATTTCACACGGTGTGAAAATAACACCGACGCGAAAACCGTCTTCAGATATTAAAGCAACACACCGCGCAAACATATAAATTATCCATTTAACGCGTCAAACGCCTAACAATAGAAATCGAATCGATGATTCTTGCGAGATCAATTCTGTGCAATAAATTGCGCAAAACATTTAAATCGTCGCTATTAAACATATAAACAATTTCTTGCAATTTTTTTTTTTTTTTCGTGCAATTTGTTTCACTTGGATAAAAACGTCACACATGGATGACGCGACGTTCAACGTGTTAATGAAATTAAAAAAATGAAATTTAAAAAATTCATCAAGAGACTCTTTGAATTATTTAATTTTTTTCAGTTCGAATTTTCTATTCATTTGCGCGTTAAAAATATATTTCGCACATGTGTGCATCCAGCGCGTGGCTCTCGAAATCCTATTTCTTGATTAAGTAAATAATTGATATCTGAAACACAGTTCGTCAAGCGGAGGACACATTTTTTTTCTGACCCATATACAGCAGTTGTCAAAATTTGACAAACTATCGCAACAAAACTCCAGCAATTTCGAGCCGAGTGTCGGATCGATTCTGCCTCTGAAATTCGAAATTATTTTCTTCCTTTTCTATAGCGACCGACTGCTAGCAAGAGACGAAAGATATGTTTCTCTCTTAAACTGTTAGAGTTAGACGCGCATTCTTGCGTAGTCACTCGAAATTATTGGGGAATCGTCAATAGCGGAGTAAAGTATTGGCCCGCCCTAGGGAGAAGTCCTAAAGGAGAAGTCGAAATCGCGACGCTCAGAAATTACTGAAGTTCGTATTCACTCGCACACGAATTCCGCGATAATTTGTGTCGTAATGATAGCCTGTAACAACGATGTTTGCCGAGGGAACATGCTTAGTTGGCGTCTTCGCCGCAACTCGGCGCAATATCGTCGGTGCACGCGCGCGGTTTGTTTTTGCAATAAGATTTATCGGAGCCGCAAAGCAGGCTCCGTATCTTGCGCGGTGGCCGCTTTTGGTTAATAACACAGCAGATCGGCGGGCAGATACAAATTGCGAGAGAGAGGGAGAAAGTTGCTTGCGCGCGAACACAGTGGGAAACGATGATGTCGAGCCGCGTGCGAGAGAGAGATAGAGAGAGAGAGAGAGAGAGTGGTCGAGAGCGTGTCGGAAAAATATCAACGTGTGTATACAACGTGTGCACACACGTATACACATCCACCCACGCTTGGTTTCGAGAGAGTTCAAATACACGGACAGGGAGTGACACTGACAAGTTCGCGATCGATGATCCTATAAATCCCTCGCTCGGTGCCTCCTCCACCGGCGGAGGTCCGGCGCAAATAAATCGATGGCGCCCGTCGTCGCGTTTCCGGTCTTCACTAATCATCGGCTCCGCGCCGAAATTATTTTCACCGTTCGTTGCTCGCGCGCACGATGTCAGTCGAAATTTCATTATCGGAAGAATTCCCGACTCTGTCGGATGTCTATTTTCAACGCGCCGAATCATTACGATGTACACGCCCCCTCTCCCGCAACTGTTCAATTTTATCTCGCTGTTCATTCCGTCACTTGGAGCAAAGTGACGTTACACGCAAGAAGCGTGTAATTTTATCGTCACTCGGTCGAATAAATCGCTCAATTATCGCGTTGTGTTTCCGGGATCGAGTTTCCGGACGCGCTTATCTCGTTCTCCTCCCGCGGGATGAATGTAAAAAAAGCGGAATATAAAAAGTGATTAATACACGAGCTTAATTAAGGCAATAGCCGCGCAGTCATCGTTTAATTAATCGACGGAGGCTCTCAAAAGTCTTTCGCGGTCGTCGCGGAGCGAAGTTTCGTCGTTCAAAAAGTCAGCTCTCTCCTTCCCCTCCCCCTCCCCTGGTTCCGCCGATTCTTATCGTCGGATCCGGGGAGATCTATTGAGTCTCGCGGAAGAGGATCCGCGAGAAAAGCTGCTGCTGCGGCCGTCGGGATTACGACGCTCGGATGTCGGCCGGCGTCTTAATAGCTTCATTCGATCGCGCGCGAGAGGGTCCGCGGCGGCGTAATTGATGGCCCTTCATTGTGTCCCGTCGCGAGAGAGAGAGAGAGAGAGAGAGAGAGAGAGAGAGAGAGAGAGAGAGAGAGAGCGGCAATAAGGGCAAAGCGCGCGCGTCCTTTCCCCGGGAAATTACCCTCTCGCGTATACGTTATTAATGGTTTCGTAAGCGCCGTCGCCGTCGTCGGCGCGATAAACAGCCCGAAATTCCCGGCACGTGCGCATTCCGCCTCCGGAATGTTATTACGTTTTCTTCGCGGCTTCTTCTTCAGTTAATTATCGAATGCGCGACGTGAGAGTGTCATCCGCGCGCGAGCGCGCGATATTTCTGCCGCGACAGCGCGCGTTCCTTTCCTCCTCGGTGGTGATTCAGCAAATATTCGACACGTGTGTGTCGAGCGACACGGAATGTCACTCACAATTATAACTTCGGATTCACGTAGGTGAATAGCAGGTTTTTTAGCGGAGCAGAGAGTCGGAGGACCGAGGCGAGGAACCTCTCTTTCGGGTTCAACGTCCGCCTTCGACAAAGGAACGCTCCGACGTGTCTGCTCTCTCTCTCTCTCTCTCTTCTCTCTCTCTCCTTCCCGCGAACGCTCGTAAAGATCGATACGATTTTTCGCTCCGCACAACGGTGGCTTATCGCGGTGTGTCTCTCCAACACCGATCATCCGTATTCTCCCGAACACGGCGCGTCGTACCTCGTCGCCACATCCCGCGCGCGGACGAAGACAAAGTACCGCGACATAAATAATTTATCTCGCGGAGGGCGACGCGAGACGGCAGAGAGAGAGAGAGAGAGAGAAAGACGCCGACGCCGACGCCGCGCGGCGATGTTGACACAGCCGTGCGCGCGTTGCATTAAATATGAAATTCAATATAAACTTTCGAGCGATATAAACCTCAAGCGCCCCGTCCCGCGGCCATATTTCCCCCATCCTCCTCAGTCGTGTTCACAGTAGCGTGACCCCGTAACCCTTCCGCTCCGCTCAGCTTCTTTATGGTATTAAGCAGCTAATTAAACTTTTTATTAGTCTACATTCCGGAGGGAACGGGGAGAGATACTTTAATCTCGTTTGAACGCAAAATCTGTTGTTGGTTTATTATTTAGCTCGCAATTGAATAAGTGACGAGATACATACACACACGCACACACACACACACAGAGCAGAAGCAGACGAGCGAGAAACTCATTTTGCCGTTTTCTGGCTTCTTTTCCAGGATGCAGAAACAAAGCCGGAGTAGCTCGGGGGTGGAGGTTGCGCTTATGCGCCCTGTAAGCACAGCTGGCTAATAGCCTCGGAGCCCGTCCCCGACACCCTGCAGCCACACACCAGGTGAGGGATTTTCTCTCATTCACGTTGCATTTTTCTCTCCTCCGACAGATTCGATCGCGAGACACGCGCAACGATTAAAAGTATTGAAGATATTCAATTCCATCGGATATATCGGGGTCGGTCGCTTCGCAACGAAGCGTCGAAACATCGTGTGCGTTGAAAACAAAAAAAAATTAATTAATATTCAATTTTAACTCTTTTATTTTTGCACTTGGACATTAACGGGAATTCGCACCGTTGTTGTTCGCGCGCGAATGTGCCGCGCAATCAAAAGTATATTCTCCGCGCGCGTATACACGCGCGAGTACACGCGCTGGAAGTAATTTGATTTACTTTCGTTTTCACTCCTGCATGCGCGCGCGCGCGCGCCAATTCTCGCATTTAAAAAACGCGCGCGCGCGTGGTATCGTTCGTATGCGTTTTACGCTTTAATTGAAAGAGGAGCGTGTTTGCGCAATACAAACAATCGCTTTGTCTCTGCATATTGTATTGTATAAAGAGAGAAAGAGAGACTGCAAATCGCGACGATAACGAGAATTAAAAGGAGATAAAAAAAAGAGAGAGACGCAGAGATAAACATTAGGGAAAATACGATTTTATCGCAGTCGCGAAATATCTCGAAACTAAACTACACACATACACACACACGCGCGCGCGTGCGCGCGAAGATTGCATAATGCAAATCAGCGTCGTTTCGGGCTGGGAGTTCCGCGGTAGAGGAGGAAACGAGAGGAGGAGAGAAGAATCCATCAAAATTCATGGTCGCCGCCGGTGGATGGAAGAAGCTTTCTCTTGGCGCGCGCGCAAGCGCCCGTTTCTTTAGGTTGCATTTTTCGACGGAGCTACAAACCGGGAGAATTCCCCGGCGTTGAATAGACGGGAGGGAGGCGCTTCGCGTGTATTTTCCCCCGGGAGTAACGCGAAGTTTTATCCGCTGTTGTCGTCGTCGTCGTCGACGACGTATGCACACACGTCCGGAGATGCCATTTTTCTCGTGAACGCCTCCTCCTTTTCCTCTCCCGCTCTCTCCGTCGCGCAGACAAAACGCAGAGCAGGCGAAACGCGCGTTTATTCGCGCGAAAATCGCTTCGCTCTCATTTCTCGCTCGCGCGGGACAAATTTTTGCATCCTCCCCCCGACTGTGCGCGCGCGTAATCACGTGCGGACGATCGTATCTCGCCGCTTCGTTTGAAAATCCCGGATAAACACGGTTTCTCGAGCGAGTATATCGGGGCGCGGGTATATATCCGAGCGCGCGACCTTAGGATTTCGCGCGCGCGGAAGCCCCCGCGTAGCTTTCGAGCGTGAGAAAGTCCGACGACGAACGAACGCGAGTGAGAGAGAGAGAGAGAGGCCGCGTGGTCGGAACGATTCCACCTCGCATGAATATTCAATATTGAGAGCCGGCGTGATTTCGCAAGCCGCCTACTCTTTATCGAAACTTTCTCGTCTCTCGACACCGTCATCGATAACCGTTCGTGAAGGGAATTTTTTCCTCCCGTCGCCGCCGCCGCCGCGTCACGCAGAGAAAACCGATATGTTTGTTTCCCTCCTTTTTCCTCTCGCTTATTTATTTACCGTTTGCTCATTCCGCGCGTTATGTGTGACCTCTTTCGTGAATTATCCATCGACACTACCCTCGGAACTGACTGCTTTGCCATTTTTTTTTGTTGCTATTCAATAGTTGCGAAAGTTTCGTCGACAATCGTCGTATTATGGGATAAGGCGCTCAATTTTTTTTGTCCCTCGACTAATACCAGAGCGACGCAATAACGTCCTTCCAATTGTCAATCAATTATTTTCTCTCTCTTTTTTTCTTGTTTTTTTTTACTCGCACTCTGTAAGACGGTCGAGCCGGCGGTTGTCTTCGTGCAGTCGAAAATTCGAAATAATTCCGCGGGAATTTTTCAATTGCGGCGAGCGAACGGACTTGTCAGTTTCAGCGGTCGTCGGCGCTTTTGTGTTCGCGTTTGCGGAACGTTGTGTGCAATGGAAATTCGATGTCGATCGCCTGTATAGCAGCGGCCGCCCCCCGAACCGGGGAGGGTTTATCCACATGTGCGCGCTCGCGCGCCCACCAGCCGATATTAGCAACAATCGGCGATATAACCGCGCCGATAAACGCGTTCGTTGAACGACGTGCGGTCGATCGACGCGGCATAACGTGCTCTCGATGAAACAATGACGAGTGAGCTTTTTTTTCTCTCTTTTTCCTCGCTCTCTCTCTTCCTCCTCCTCAACCTCTTTCGGGACGACCGTTCGCTCTGCAGGCAAACGATATACGCGCGGTTGTGACAGCTATTCAATCTTCTTTTCGCTCGCACGCTTGTAGTTCTCTAAAATATTCTTAAACGAACATAAACCACTCTCTTATCCCTTCGCGAACAGACATGGGTCTCCCGGACCCACTCAGAAATTGCGCTTCGGCGTCTCTAGTAAAACTTGGTTTTTTCAAACGCTTATATCTTCAAAATTACTAGAGATTTTTTGAAATGTGTTTTTTTTAATCGAACGCAGAATCGTTCAAACTTTTTTGATTCAAAAAACTGAAAAAATGATTGATTCTTCGCGGAAATGTTCGATTTCAAAGTCGCGTAGGTCTCACAGTCTCCTGTCTGTCTAAATAACAGATCGGTTTTCAGAATCTGTTCGCGAAGGATTAAATGTTAGAATCAATGCATTTCATTGAAAATCGGTGCATTTTTACAGACTCAGATTGTTACAGAAATCTTTTACTAAAATCCAATAGATTTCACTAGTTTATTCACAGTCGGATCACTTATCGCGTGAATCAGTAAATAATTCAATAAGTGAATAAATAATAAGTAAACACATCATCACCACTTCCAAAATAATTTATAATATATGAAAAAAATATTTATTTTTGTGATGAATATTTTCGAGAGTTTTTGGTTATTCTTTCTATTTGTTCAATTGGAACATTTTTACTGTGCAAATCAACAAATATTTACTTAATCAGTAACACACACACACAATACTTCTAAAATAACTTATCTAAAATTCAATTAAATATTTATGACATCTTTACATTTAAATCTTTTTAATATCTTTGAGTGAATTGTTTTTATTTATATTTTTTGAGTCTTAGTATTAATTTATAAAGAAAAAACTCGTATTAAAAACTAGAAAAAGAGGAGTGAAAAAACAACACGTGACTTTACTTTAGTCGCGTGTCTTCAAAAACGTGACTAGACTAAGGTCGCAGGGAGAGGAAAAACAACAAGTGCCTAAAAAAACAATATGTTACTAATCTGTCACCGGATTAATGAAATGTTAACTGATTCTACTTGAGACATTGTTTATGGTATCAATCTTGGGAGGATATTTTGTTAGCGATGACAAAGAGTTGATCACCGATCGTTTGACCGAATAACACGACCGAATCGATAAACGGAAACGATAATTCTCATGGCGACGATCGACGGACACGCAGGTGGTCCATCGCCGGACTCGATGATGCATTCGCGTACACGGTTTCGTGTATCGCACGTGTGTTCGAGAACGGGAGGCCCGTAATTGTTTGCGTCATCGAAACCGTAAATCGCCGTCACTCGTCAGCGACGGATTACAAAACGCCGCGTTCAAACGCGCGCGGTACATGAAATTTTTTTTCTCTCTCCTCCGTCTCTCTCTCTCGCGTTATATATAAATAAAATCCATTTTGTTCGCGCGAAATTTGTGGCGGAAGATGACATACGCGTGTGTACGCGCGACGGTGCGATTTATATATCGCAAATTCGGATTATAAAAATAGACAAATTCGATTCAAAAAACGGAGAACAACCAGAGCACAAGAGCTTTTTTTTATGATTTTATTATCCGCTGTGGATACACGCGGGATAAAAAAAAAAAAAAAAGCTTTTCTGTTTCATGGCCAGGAAGAAAAATTTGCTAAGTCTACCGAATTGTTTGTTCCACCAACACAGGTTTGCAAAGGTTTCTTGTTGACCGTACAGTAGCAACTAATCTTCTTGCTATTTTAGCGCTTGTTGATTTAAGGTATGATTTTTATACGTTTTGTAATTATAATTCGATCCTAATGTTTTCATCTTGCAATTTATGTTAAATAAAGTTTTGTAACATTGTTTACATCGACTGACGATAAGTCGAAAGTCGAAACGTTTTGAAATATTATTTGTTCGAATTTATCTGCGTTGCATACTGCACTTAGTTCTTATCTGCTTTGGTTCTTATTTTTTGTAAACATTGAATTAACCCGTTGAGAAAACCCGAGAACACGTCAAAAAACACACACATTATACAATTTCTTGCTATCACGTAGCAAATCTTTTTTTTTCCTTGCTACGAAACTAATGGATAATAAAATCTAATAATAAAAACACCAGAAAAAAAGAGAGATTATGAATGAATGAATGAATGTATGCTTTATTTATTACGCGTCCGAAATATTTCCTAAACCGTCAAAAAATTACATAACATATAAATAAAAATATAAACGAAAATATGAAAAATGTAAATGTATAAATCAAATAAAAAATTGATAATTGACCGCTTGAATTATATACAAAACGGATAGCGTAAGTTTGACGTGCAACAATTTAAAAATTCAACGATAGCGAGAGTATTAATTAAAAGATAACAAGAATAATAATAAGAGTGTGTGTGTGTGTTTTGTTTTACTAGCACAACACAGGCGCACGCTATTGTTATTTTTATTTAACGCGTTGTCAGTGAACACAACCTGTCACCGCGATGACAGATAGTATATACGTCTTATAAACCATATAATACACATATGAGAAATGTCAGAAATAACGCATGAAAATCAAACTCAAAAAATAGTGAGAGAGAGAAGGTCGCGCGACCGAGGTCAGTGACCCCCCCCTCCCCCACCAAGGCCGCGCGGCCTAGGTCAGTGACCCCGCCGCGGTCGCGCGACCGAGGTCAGTGACCCCCCTCCCACCAAGGCCGCGCGGCCGAGGTCAGTGCCCCGCCAAGGCCGCGCGGCCTAGGTCAGT